CCATCAGCCCTCTAACCCTATGGGTTTCCTCACTATTCATACGCTAGATTTTGGTATCACCCAATGTGGATTTCGCATCCTACCTTAGAACACTTAACTATCCTCAAGGTAAACCTAACATAGCAGTACATGTCCCACACATGTATTCCCTATAACTTCTTCCTAATTAGTACATATTGACCTGCTATTCCGTATTCGTATCTCACGCCACCTTTTGGGGTGCTGCTATTCTATGGACGTTTCTTAAGCACCAACCTTCCTAACTAGGCGCCTATTACATACTCATATTTTAACCATTGTCCAAGATGTACTAAAGTCAAATTAGATATAGATGTTTGAAATTTTGAAACCTTATATAAAGGGTGAAGTACTATTGAAAGAATTAATAATGGTTGCTTCCATTGATACCAGCATTTTTCTATTTGTTCAATTATCTTTTCTGAAAATTCTATATCTAAATGTTTACTAAAAATTTTTGTTACATATGCAAAACAATAAGTTACTTTATATAAGCTTGCTATATCTTTTTGAAGCTTATTTAAAAAGCAACACAAAGGATATAGTAAATTTTGAAGCTTTAAAAGAGCTATCTAAAAATCATTATCATTAATAATGTTCGCAATATCATCTGGTAATTTTTATTCACCATTACGTTTTTTTGAAGTATTGTTTGGTTCTATATTTGGAATACCATTTGTTCAAATTATATTTAACCAATGTTCATTAAATTTTGCAGAGATAAACTATAAAATAAAACAAATTATTTAATAATAACTTATAATTTTAATAATAATAAGTTTATAAACTTTACCTTTAATACAATTTTAGTCTTTAGAATAGAATAGAAACAAAAATAGTAACTATTCCACCTTGTATCACCAGGTGATATAAGTGATTTTTTATTTTAATACTGCTAATATATTTGAAACACTGTTTTAGAGCAGGGTAATACTAAAAAAACACATTTCATGTGTTTTTTTTGGGTCCGCAAATTAACATTTGTTTCCGTTATTACTCTGCTCTAAAACAGTGTTCTGCGTTGCAGAACTAGATTGTAATACAATTATTGATAATAAATTTTACGTTAAAAAAGCTTCTTTATTGTGTTTGAAAGGTTTATAGAGTACAATTATATCATCTACAGTCTTAAGAACCTCTAGAATAAAAATCTGCTTACGTCTGCAATACTTGAATGCAGATCTTATAATTCCAGCATTCCTCGCAACAAATCTAATATCATTTTTACCGATAACCCTTCATCCAAATCATCTTGAACAACCTTTTTTACATGTTTCAACTTTATTTTCTTCTTGGGTTTCAAGATTCTACCTACGCAAGTACGATCAAATTCACTTAAAGAATTCAATTTCCCAAACACATAATAGTATTCAGAGTACAAATATTGCGTCTCTAAATCGTTCTTGTCAACATTTGAATGACCTTTTAGCTTCTTGTAAACCTTTTTTGTTGTTTGAAATATCTTCATTTCTTGCAATTCAAAGTCGATTGAATCATCCTCTTCTCATTTGCGTTTTAGATTTTGTGAGCTTTGAGAACTAATTTCTTCCTAAAAAATACAATAAAATGTTAGATGCAATGGCTTCTAAGCGAGCAATTTCATACTCTTTACATGCTAAACATTAAAAATATTATCATCACATGTCATTTATACGTGCATCAAGAAGATAACACCTTTAACAAAGAATTACTATGTACTCGCCTCTGATTTATAAAAAGTCTCAAAAACTTCTTGTTAATTGCAGGGATATTTAGTATAATAATCTGGATAGTTATTATAATAATCTGACATTTTTGTGATTGAATTTAGAAAATTCATCAAAATTCTCAGGTATTTTATCAGAAATAGAAACCGGATAAATGAAAATCAAATTTTAAAAAACACCAATAAGATAATTTACATGACTAATCATAATTATTAATCAAAATAACAGAATCATATGATATTTCTAACTAAGAATGAGTCTAAATTTGGTTTGTTTTTATCTGATTAACAAAGAAAATGAATGAAAATAATCCAATAGAATGAGTCTTGATTTAGTTAATTGATACTGTTATCTGATGATATGCGGTCTCATACAAGCCACATGCACTAAATAGCGTTCACCAATCCCTCCATTGAACCTAAATCTGGAACGACAAACAATCCCCTTATGCGGTCTTATTCTCTTTCGTTCATTTTTTGGTATAAGATTGCCTGGTCTCACAGCACGAACAATCTCCAATTTTTTAAAAAATTTTTGCAAAAATTTCTCAGATTCTCTAGGATTTACATGTTCTTATACGCACTTTACCTTATCATTTCCACTCTTATTATCTTGCAATACATAATGGAAAATGTTGAAAGGATCACTATTCTGACAAGATCTTCAAGCTTAGAAGTCAAATCTGATAATCTAACGGATGCTCCTTCAAGTTATCAGGATGCAGTTTCTAATGCATCTTTACAAACTTCTGGTATATATAAATCTAACAAATTTATTATTTTTAACTTCAAAATTTTGTAATTTTATAACAAATAAAAATTAAATTATTAAAAAATGTCTTTACTTTATGCTGAAGAAATTGAAATAACTCAAGAAGTTACTAATTCTGAACAAGGTAATTAACTAAATTTATATTAATAATTTTATTTTATTCTTTATTGATTTTATTTTATTAGAGTTAAGAAACTACTTAACTGAAAGAATGACAACAGAATTTCAACATTATGAGAATAGAATCAATTCTCTTGAAGTAACAAATTTAACTCTTCAGGATAAAATTAAATCTCTTGAACAGATAGTTTCAACTTTTAACAATACATTAAAATCTTATAATTATATTATTTTTATTTTATTATTTATTATTTTTATTACTTCTATTTTTAACGGTTCTTTTTGCTATTATTTATATTCACAATCTGTTGAAGAAAAAACAAAAAAAGAACTGTTTATTAAATCTTTAGTTACTTTAATTGATCAATACCTGTAAGGAGAATAGACAGTTGGGCTGTTTGTTTTCTGATTAATTTTCATTGTTTATAATGTGTGTGAAACTAAAAATTTAGTTTCATACACATCGTAAACAAATGAAAATTATACTGTAATCTATATTTATTTTCTTATTTCTAATAAAATTTATTGAAATTAAAAACAAATTTGACTGAGTTGAGGTGTTTCTAAATGAACAATGAATTGCTGCTTATTGGAGCCTAGCTGGCCGCTAACTCCAATAGCAGCGATACTTCTTTGATCGCTGGTTTGCCACCGTGATCAAATAGCATTGTGTAATCACTGATAACATTCTCTCTCTCTCACTCTTATGTACGCTGTGGTTTCTTATAATATAGCAAATGCCTCGATTTTGTGATATTTTGCAAGCAAGCTCGCAAAATCTAACTGCATATCTCATTTTTGCTATATCTCAGAAACATTTTTTTTAATAATTAAAAAGAAGCAAAATATTATTTGTTTAATTATTTATTTATTGATAAAATAATAATATACAAATTATTTGAAGAAATCTGTAATTTTTAAATCTACTTCTGTTTTTTCTAGTTCATCGACAATAGTAAAATCTTGTTCGTGAATTGGTTTAATTGAACCTATTTTTGCTAAACTATCTGCTTGTTCATTACCAAAATCGCCAATATGATCTCGAACATGAACAAAATTTACAGTTCCAATGTGACTATCTATCAAGTTTTTCAAATATTTAAACATATCACTGTTCTTAACTGGCTTATTTTGATAAGACATGTAATTGTTTTTTTCCCAATTTTTAATCCAAGTTTCCATCGCATTAATCACATATTTACTGTCAATTATGATCTCTATCGGTTTTCTTTTATCTCCACATGCCTCTAATGCATGAATTACCGCATAAATCTCCGCACAATTGTTGGTTTGCTGTTTATCTGGAAGACGTTCTGACAGATTTCTAGGATCATCTTGACTAAAAAAAACACCTATACCTGTCTGCGCTTTAGGTGTACTATTATCAAAAGTGCAACCATCCATTCAGATTTGAAGTTTACTTGGATCAAGTTCTATGCTTTCTTTTTTATTTTCAACAAAGTTTTGCGCTTGTTTTAAATTGTAGAATTTTTTGTATTTTGCATTGGAATATTTATTTACTTGCGCCTTACAATCGTTCTAAGTGTAGTAAATACCCAGTTTACAGCCAACTCGAACAGTATAATATCCTGGTTTATTAGATTTTCCTATATCTAAACAAGAATCAGTTGATTGGTCGATCAGTCGATTAATATCAGTAATTGCAAGTGAGAGTTAGTGAATGTGAATGATCGGATGATAAACAACAAGACACAGCAATGGCTCTCTCACTTTAATAAAATTATTAATTAAAAATTAACTGAGTAATTTAAAGTCTTTATATATTTTTTTTATAATTGTGGGATTAAGAAAACCAGTTTGAAAGAAACCAAAAATAAACAGATTAAACGCGTAAAGAACCAATCAGATTCATGATGACAAAGATGATTTGTGAGCGATTTGCAAAGGAAAAGTTTATTTAATAGCAAGAATTTTAACAGAAACAACCCCCAATTCACTCTTGAATTTTACAAATACAACGCAATACACAACATGAAATTCTTTAAAAAACTCTTAAAACTCTTTAAAAAAAACAAGAAACAAGAAGATAGCTGGGATGATATTTGTGTCAAGGTTGAGTCTTGGTCGACAAGTTCGACCAGCGATAAAGAAGATTCTTTTGAAACCACCTTACTACTCGTCGAATTTGACAATCAATTCTCTGTAATTGATCTGAAGTTTTATACAAGATATGAAGAATATCTTGATGATGTGAGACAAAAAAAACCTAAGAATTACAAAAAGTTCAAGATATATTTCTCTTTTTTGGATGCACATATTAGAAGTTACCACAACCTCTTTTATGATGGAATGTGGTATTATCGTGATAGTTGGAACTTGCTATTACATAGAAGAAAAGGTTATGAGAATGATTTTGAATTTGCAATAGATGTTTTGAATAAAAATTTTAGTCATATTTACCTGTTGGACTATAATGATTTATTAGATTATGCTAAAAATAATTTAATATTTTAAACGTATTTTTGTAAATATTTGTATTATATATTTAATTTTTTGTAAATAAAACATGTGATTTTTAATATATTCCAGAAGATCAGCATAATTGTGTATTTGTATGAATCTGGATTTGGCATTCCAATAGTGATGCATGTGTGATTAGTAAGCAGATATGACTCATCAATGATCAACAGTACAAATACCTGTGATTATGCCCAATTTTTGTTTTTTTGCCTTTTCACTCTTTCGATGATTGTACATTTGAACCTGAGAAAACATGAGGAATACGTGGTCTAAACCATGCTGTTGTAGCATCCCCACGCATGTTTAACTATAAGATATCCAGTTCTTTTTCACAAGAATTTGGAGAAGCGTACTCGTGTTTCTCTCATCTTCAGATAGTATAGAAAACGGGTGAACTGGCCATTTTTTTATCGCTTCAGATGGTCATTATTAAGTTTTGGCCATGCTTTTCACCTTGAAAGCGAATGAAAAACTTAGTGTTTGCAATCAATACACCTTGAGAAATGTCTCAAGTAATAGATGTGTTTAAGCTTTTTTCTACTATAGAAGAGTAAAAAGCACTCTCAAATGTTAGTTATCTTGGGGCATACTATATGGTTTTACTAGTTAAAACTTCAGGCTTATAACGCTGAGATGCAACTCGATCCACTGATATTTTGACTTTTGGCAGCTGGATCTGAACTACAAAAGTCAAACTTTTCAATGCTGTGATAAGATATCGGCTTACCATATAGGCTTAGTGTCTCTAGCCATATTCTCACTTTAAAAGGCAGCATGGGTTGTTTCTGAGTCAACTTTGTTGCGAGGACAACTCAAACATGCAAATGAGAGAATGCCTTTACGTTGGCTTGTGTGATAAGTAATGTATTTTTTTTCAAATACATGAAACTAAATTTTCTTAACTTTAAAATTTGTAAAAATATATAAATTCCCGAGTGTTGTTTAAGATTTTATTAAAAATTAACAATTTTCCTGATGGTTAAGGAAACAAAAACCTTGAAAACTTCATGTCTGAGATGCTGAAAATATAGAAGAAAATGGGTAAAATTAAAAGATAATCCAAATGTTTGTGTTAAATGCAATGAAAAAAATCTGCAATGCATTATCTATTCTCCAAAATACAAAGATAAAGAAATTGTATATCTAACAAAAGAAATAGAAGAATATAAAAAAGATATTATTAATTTGAAAAATAAAATAAAGAAACTAAGATCAAATTTACAGAATATAATCTGAAAAGAAATAAAGACAAGATTAATTTGTTAGACAAAAGTTTGAGTGAAATATGAAACACATTTTAGAATAAAATAATAAAATTTATTAAAATAATTAATTAGTAGTTCGCAGTTAAAGAGTACAAATTTTATAGTAAAAATTAGCGGGCATGTGACTAATTACCTTATATAGTAAGTGGAATACCATGTGCTTCTATTCTTATGAAAAAACCCTATAGTAAACAATTTTAAAATACTTATAACTCATGATTTATTAACCCGATTTTGATGATTTTACTACCATTAGAAGCAGAAAAATTAGCTTTACAACTTTTGTTAAAGCAAAAAAAAAAAATTTACTTAATAAAAAAAAAACTTTTAACTATAGAAAAAACATATAGATTTCCAATTTTGTTTATTATAAAATGTCGATCATTTTGTACCCTTTAACTACGATCTACCAATTAATAATTTTTAATAATATCAATAAATGCTTCCAAATGTTCTCTCTATGTTTTCTTTGCTAGATGAATTCTAATAAATATTTTTTAATCTTGTTTTGATTTCTATTCCTTTTAGCAATTATTGTCTTTAGTTTGGCCCAAGTTCCTTCAATAGTGTTTGTGTGAATTCCAAATGTTTCTAATACATTTCTTGAATGATTTACCCTTCTGTGAACAAAATTTAAACCTTTAAGTTGATATCCTTTCCATGAATCTGTGAATACAATTGATTTTGGTTTTACGTATTTCTTGATGATTCTTCTCAAAGTTGTTGTATTTCTATCTTCAACTACAACAAAAAAGCATTTTTGTTCTTTGGTTCTTTCCATGCCACCAACCACCCAAAAGTCATTGTTCTTCTTGAACTTGCTCTTATCAATCTCTACGATGATATCCTTACCACCGATAATCATGTCATCATCCTCTAACGTGTTTATGACTAGATCTCTAAATAAATTTGTATAATTTACAATAGTATTGGGTGAATGTTGTGTCATTATGCTAATAGATGTATAATTGATTTTTGATAACCAAAAATATGCTAATAACAGTATGTCTAAACTGATGATATGATGTTTAGCGAAAAAAGAATCCTTATAGATAGAAACTGCTTTATGACAATCTTGATTCTTACATCTAAACAATTTTTTATTTTGATGTAATTCTGCACCACAATACGAACATTGAGAAGGAGTTTGAATAATATTATTT